CAAAATATTAATTTTACACATAAAGTTTTCTAAGTGGGACGCATTGCACAGTAGAATTTATGAAATGCAGTCTATCTTTTTTTAGATTCTGTTTTTGGAAAGAAATCAAAACAATAATAAAAATAATAAAAAAACGCCATTAAACAATCAGGATTGGATCTTGGTTATCCAATAATGTTATAATATTAGAGTAAACTTTACGTACAATTCTTCATAGTTTGCTAAGGCAAAGAATTGCACGTAAAATTCACTCTAATAATATTATTAGGCAACCAAGCTCCAATCTTATCGCTTAATGGCGGTTTTCCTTAATTTGATTGTATATCATATATTCCACTTAGTTATTGTATTGAAATAAAAAGACTTATATAAAATTATTAAAAATAATTATTAAACTCCTTAATTGAGAGAATAAGCTATTAGATATCGCATTTGATATTTACACAGGCGTTATTTATTGAATTAAAGAAGGCGTTAATTGTGAGCAAGAAAAAGTTTTAATTTCATTCAATTTTATTACTGTTATCATACAAGTCGCATTTTACTCACGGATAATTATTCTAATGTACATCAGCATTCTGAGAATTTGCGGATGCACACACACTATACACAGTTGAATCGCAGAATATTTGCGACAAGTGAACGTAGAACGCAATTCTTGACGGCCAACGTCTCCAACAACGTCTGTTCGTCCACTGAGTGCAGGCCACAGCTCCCGATCCTTATTCACAGCCGTTCCAACAAAATCTTCGGGTGATAACACCACTCAAGCCGCTAGATAAAGACCAAGATCGACTCAAGTGACCTATTATTTGTTATGGATCCGTGGGAGAAATTGCTATCCTGCATGATGCTGTTTATCGATGATCGCCGATGTACCGGACGGGGGTTAAAAATGTATAACGGAAACGTTCCGGTACATTTCTTCCATATCCTTATAAAGTTCAATCTGATCTACAATTTTTCAAAGTGCTTGCAAAGAATTATACATTTTATTTCTATGACATTAGTCACTATTTCAAGTATAGCTCTATGTAGAAGATGTATGAAAGTCAGTAGGTACGCTCTAAAACCGAAAATTCCCATTTTTATTATCTTTTCAGCATTCTATTTTCTAATCTTCTTGGCAGCAGAATCTGAAAAATATGTTTAAATCCGGAATATTTTTATAAATAAATTTTTAGATTTATTTTTATTAATACTTTATAATTAATGTTATTAATTATAAATGAAATGATAAATTAACAATTTGTTCTTAATATAATACTAATTATTTTTCACGGATAGAATCATTAGTGACAAATAGGTGGACGATATATTTTATACCAAGCCGCTATATCGTCTAAAAGATACATAAAATCCTCTTACAAGCAATACACAAATTAATTAATTAGCATCGGTATAATTAATCTAACTACAAATTCTATCGCGCTGCTTTGAAATTTATGAGGATGTTCTGCAATTCTTCCTAATATCGTGTTAACCCTCTTATCAGACGAGAACATAGGTCACGCGTCTGATTATTGTTACAGTTTTATCAAGTTTAATACCATGCACATTACAAGCGATGTATACAGAACGTGTTAACTCGAGAGCGTGTTAACTCGGGAGGGTGCAGATTCGACTAATTAGTACATGCCTCTCAGTCATTTTGATAAAAATTTATTTTTGTACATTTCTGCATCGCAATTAATTAATAGTTGACAAAAACATCTTAAGAATTAAAATATATATATGTAGTAATAAACAACGATAATTTTATTACCTATATTTTTTTCTTCCCTTCTTGTCTCTTTTTTTCTTCTTTTTTTAAATATATTATTTTTGTTATATACATTTATTAATATAAAATAAATTAATAAGATGTTAAAGTATTTTTATGTTTATTATTGATTAAATTTATTAATAAAATTATGTATATTTTTAAAATTCGTATAGAACCAGAAAGAGATACAGTTACAATTCTGTAATCCTAATAATCCTGTATTGAGATAATTAATTTTCCTCTCGTTATGTTTTAAAATTAGTTGATATTATTTAAAAAAATCTTTTATTTCACGTTAATTACAAATATTTATTATATTGGAATGTTTGCAGTTTTAAATTAATGCCACGTGTATAGCTAGCTGTGAAGAAATATGTGTAAATGTAATACTTATTGTAATGTTATTCAGTTTATTAACATAAAGAGTCTATTAATTTGTGTATTTCGGAATTTCGTAAACTTAATTCCGAGGTAAGAAACGAATATCGAAGAATGCACAAAAGTCGCATAAAGGAAAAGACTCGCAACTAAAATGCTGTGTAATTGTCTTATAAATTCAGTGAATAAGTCCGTCGAGGAAAATATTACTTAATTATAATTGCTTTACGATATTGCGATTTCATCATATATGAAATATCAAACGCAGGATACACTCTCGCAATCAATGTGCTCATCCTGTGTCCACGAGAGAAACGCGAAACATTCTCGTAATCAGGTTTAACAACGAGAATGTATTTCGCAGAAAATAGGTATATACTGGTTTCAAACGAAACATTTTAACATAACTTTCCATGATAAATTAATTCGTACACAACACATTTCTTAAAATTAATTAAGAAAAAAAATCACGTAAGTTTCTTTTACTAATGTTAAGATAAAAAGGATATCAAATAGTTGCTACAGTTTATTAATTTCATATTATATATATTATAGCAATTTTATTTTTAGTGTCAAAATAATTAAATATTTATAAAAACTATATATTAACATTATTTATAAAAACTATTTTATTTTATTAATATATTTATTATACACTTATTTAATTTATAAATTGTTCTATTTCTTCTAGTAATTACAAAATTATTTCCTCCAATGCAATAGTAACATTTATTTTATATTGAATTAGTATCAAAAGAATAAGATTTCAAAATCTACCCATTAATTGCAAATATATTTTATCAATTTTTTTCTTTATATCTTGAGTGACGAATGTTTCCTTTCATCCTTTTCTCGCACAACATTTTATCCTGTTTACGTTTTCCTTTCTTTTCCGATATTTCTATCAACTTCTTGCGTCAATTTTTGTTTATCTTCGCTCTTATTAATACCACTCACTTGAGATTTCTTTATTTTGCTCTTCGAAATATCTCTTCTTTCTTTTCCCTTATCTAATGTTAACATGCATAAAAGAAGTTGCTCCTACATAAAGGTATTAAATTAGAAAGCCAAAAGAATTAGTACAGACAAAGCTCACCTTTGGCAGACGTGATGGAAGAGACGTTACGTCGACGTTGATTAATAATCCATTCTCTCTCAGATAATGAAGGTTGAATTTTCTTTAATAATATATCGACCGGTGAAGTCTTTTTTAATGATTGTAAGCGTTGAGTTTCACGGCTCTTTTGCTTTTTATAATCGCAGACACTGTTTCCTAAAAAGCTCTTATTTGCGCGTTTCTTGCTTTTATTATCGTTGCTGGTATTCTCCATCTCAATTTTTCTAAAATTAATAGTAGTTTTTTCTTTACGTCTCTTTCTTTTTGCTTTCATGATTTTTTTCTTTCTTCCATAATTTAATTATATTACTAAACAAATTTGTATAAATTTGTAAAATATTACGAAAGTGTAACGTGACATTTTATCTATTAGATCGTATATATAAATTCGGATTCGAAAACTTTTGTTTTGAATATTTATAAAGCAAATCGATGCTTATCTCTGTACAAAATGCCAAAATTAAATATGTAACAGCATTTACTTTTTAATCAATAACATTTAATTAAAACTGTTAATCAAAATAATTAAAAGGAGATAACTCATAGAATTTTAAACTTATTTCTCAAGAAACTTATTTATTATCAAATATTATCAATACATAAATTGATATATAGCATTTATTAATACCAAAAGCTATCTGGCAAATTACTTACGTAATTAATGTAGAATAAACGAGTTTACTTTTTAAAAAACGTCTGTTTTCTTTGTATCTTTGACCTTAATTTTATTCGAGATCAAATATACGCGAAATATTTATGCTAAAAACTATGTTTTGGGGAAAGCTAGCGCGGTTGACCTCTTTCTTTTCGCTGTTTTTTTAACTCTGATCACTAGCAGGCCTTCGACAGCCGATCTCTCCCTTGCCAAATATTACGTGACCCAATCACATGACAACACGCCTAGAAGTTATTGCAAGGAGACGCGTGATCAGCTGTCACGTGCGAAACAGTAAGAATTTGAGTCCTTCTCGAAAGCACGATAATCACAAGTCAAGACCTAACTAAAGTAAAATATAAACATGACTGATAGACACATTATGACAAAGCAAATTAATCTCACATTAATTACAATTACAATAGTGCTATCGGTGCTATCATTATGCTCTTTAAATAATATTGTATATAATTTAATTTCGATATGTAGTACTTAAATAGAGTTTTATCGTAACGAAGGTTCGTCGAACCTTCGACAAGTTATCTTTCTGATAAATTCCATGCATTTCGTAATAGAATCTATTGTTGCATACCTCTATTACTGTTTGATTTTAACGATTGATTAAAGTCTAAGACATTTTTATGCTTTTCTAGTTTAAAGTACTGTCAATGTACATACATACAAATAATTTATTGTGTCAAATGTCAAATGTTAAAAACGTATCAATGTATATTAACATTCTGATCGCAATATTTTTCTATATCGACTTAATCCGCTGATAATTTCATTTAGTTTAATTCAACATGCAATTAATAACTTGAAATTTAAATCTAATTGTGTACTTTGCCCAGCCTGCAGTCACTCATTAATAGCCGAAATTTACATGTCAGGTATAAGAAAACGTAAACACAATAAGCTGTTAATTAAGCGTAATCTTGTATGTTGCTTATGTCATTTACTATAATTAGGTTAACTCACTTAATAAATATTTAAAACTTTACTAAATCATAATGCAAACATATATTATACGTTTAACTAATAATACTTTTATTAAAAGTTCATTCAGAAATATATAAGACAGAAACATGGAACGTAACAAGGGGACAGCATCCGATTTGAAGAAAGAGAAAGCAAGATCATTAAAGATGAAAATAAGGCAGCTTGCTAAACGCAATGAGATAGTCTCAGCCGAGACTATCGCTACTGTCGGAGATGTTGCGAGAGATATGGAAATTGACAAAGATAATACGCCGAGCAGCGACGAGTTCGATGAGGATCTGGAGGAAGAATATCGGAATTTGAACAATATGCTCGATTTACCGAACGATACTTATTCTCTTACTAAAATTACAGCGGAGTTACCCTCATGCGTTAAATACGGAGTTCGTTCCGGTCTGATTCACTTGAACATGCCGCATTTCTCACCGTTATCCAGAGGTTATCAGGTAATCACAATTGACCCATGAGCCAATAATGAACTTTATTTAAGAAATACTTTTCTTAACGTGTCTTTTCATACCAAAGCAATAATTACATTAACAGTTTAATGTTACATAGTAAAACAATTATTTTTGTTAAATATTGAGTATAACGGCTCCTCCCTCCTTTGAAATTTTCAAATTCTATATATATTTTGAGTAGTAAAAGAAATTCAGAGAAGGAAAATTATCGCCCATTATAATTAATACTTAAAATATCACGATGTCGATAAGTAAAGAAATAATAATTTATATTTATGGATATATATTTCGCTTCTTACTATTAGATCATATGTTATTTACAATTTTATTCAATTACATATTTTTTTAAATTATAATCTTTGTTAAAGCAGAGAATAGTAGAAAGCATAAATACAGAGTATTCTCTGCTTTATCTAATCATAAACTAACGGAACATGAGCGACGATATTTCCTTCTTAGAATCTTTTTTACGCGATCCACAAAATACACAAAATTTGAAAATTTTAAAGGAATCAAGGGGGGAGAGGCGACGTTATTTATACTCAATATTTACCTTATTTTTTTAAATATTGTTAAACGTTGCTTTGCAGTTTCTCATTTCGCAGCTCTAATAACAGGGTGGCGCTATAGCGATCGCAGCTTTCGCCACGACCGCGATTCACAAATCTCGCTGCTGGAACGAGGCGGTGATCGATCAAATCGTCGAGGACGGCGACACTTTTTACTGCGAATCCTACAAAGACGTGAACACGAACGATCGCCGGACGATGACCATCCTCGACTTGAAAAGGACTCTTCTCCTGCGGAAAAAGTTTAATGTGAAAGTTAAGCTCGAGGATCCGGCGTACGCCGGCAAGTTTCGTTCGCGCGATCCGACGGAGCTTCATTTGGCGAAGGCGCTGGAGCTGTTTTTCGAGCGACACGACGCCGGGATCTTGACGTCGCCGGTGCTCAATATAGCGATCTGGCGAGACTCGAAGTACTACAACATATTTGACGGTCAGGCGCGACGAGAGAGCGGCGAGCCGGCGGCCGACGGGGTCAGCGGGTCGGCCAAACTGTTTCTCGTGAAGGACCTGATAGGGCTGCTGTTCATCATCCTTGAGAAGAGTAACGTGCGAAACGAACCTTTCGTGATTTATCCGATATCTATCAGCGAAGTCGAGACCGTTTCTCCCGAAGACCCCGAGGAGGCCGCGATGGCACTCGAGAAGCCGCGAAGAAGACCGAGCGGTTATAAAATTCATCAGCAACACCGAGCCGTGATACAGGGCTCTTATCATCTGACGCATCCTGCCGTACAGGAAGCTCTGCGAGGTAAAGGACACCTGATCGTAGCCGTGGCGGCTTTGATATATTCCCGGCTGATCAGCGCGAACAAATGGACGAGCGCTTTGCTTGACTTGATCTTCAACCAGTCCAACATCTATCTGATCGATCTAGCTAGAGTTCTGGAGAGGAAGCTCGACGACGAGTTCGAACTTCGGTTGGACGACTTGATGGGCGACGTTGTCCTCGGAGTGTATTCCGCCAAGATAAAGGTGGACGCGAATGTAATGCCGAGTCAGGCGCAAAAGGGTAAGGTTACCATTGACAGCGACATGGAGCAATTCTTTGAGACGCAGGAATGCGGAATACTCGAGATCAAGAAGATCTTTTACGCGATCTGGAAGGACGGTAATGCATACTACTTTCTCGACCCGTTTGTTTGTGACGACGAGGGTTTCAGGGTCGATTACAAGGAACGCACGACGGGCGATACCATCAGAGAAGCCGCTTGCGTGACCATGAATAGCACTTTAAACGAGGTGGTGGAGACGGTACTGGAAAATACCGGCAATAAAGAGAGCGATCCTTTCTCGATACACGGAGTCAAGGTGCTTTATGTCAAGACTGGAGTGATTACGCCAGGTGGTCCGCTCGAAAAAGTAATTTATCGGGAGAGCGGTACGAACCGCAGACCGCGGGCCCCATCGCCACCGGCACCGCTGGATGTGACGAAGACCGATCTAATCGACACGACGCCACGTTTACGACCAGACTCGCGTAAATTCGCAGAAGTGTCTATTCAATATCCAGAGATTATGCGGAACGTAGATCAATACATGATGACGGCTGACGAGCCGACGACTTTTATATATGCGCAAGAGAAAAGAAAGGAAGTAGACATAGAAGAAGAAGAAGAAAAAGAAGAAGAAGAAGAAGAAGAAGAAGAAGAAGAAGAAGGGGAAGGGGAAGAAGATGTAGAAGAAAAGACGCAAAATAAAATAGGTTATATCATGGGATATGAAATGATAAATGCACATCGTTTTTTTGTTCGCGGTACCAAAACTTGCATGATGATTACATATCCGCGATCACAAGGTAAACAAGGATTAATAATTGGCTTAACTGCGTTGGTATATAGGAAATTAAAGGAACCGGCCCGCTGGCGAAATATAGACGTGGATCAAATTCTTGACATCGGCAACGAGGCTTATGAACAAGTTATAATGTGGATTGAACGAGGCCGACCAGAAATAAAAGAAGTGAAAGTGAGAGAAAAAGAGGGAGAGGAGGAAGAGGAGGAGGAGGAGGAGGAGGAGGAGGAGGAAGAAGAAGAAGAGGCTGAAGAAGAAGAAGAAGAGGAAGAGGAGGAGGAAGAAGAAAAAGAAACTGTCGCTCGGAAAGTTACACGCGCTCCGAGTCATTTAGATGTCTCTCTCTTACCTCCCAGATTGAAACTAGCTGAGAATTACGCTTTTTTCAAGACGAGTATGAACGTTGTCGACGGCGACGCGAATCCTTTGGCTAATCTCGCGGAGGCTCTCGAGTATTACTTCGAACGATATCCCGAAGTGATATTGGAAAACAGAAGACTGATGTACGCCATTTGGAAGGAGGATGACAAATTTTTCCTGTTCAATCCTTACGGTAGTGATTCAGAAGGATGGCGTATTTGGAATTATTCATCTGCTTTTATCGTAACGGACAGTCTCAACGAACTGGTTGACCTTCTTTACGGTGTCTTAGAATACAACGATCCGCGTTTCTCACTTCATTTCGTAGCTCTCGACGCGATAGAACCGGGAAAGTACAAGTCACCCACGGAAATTGTAATTCCAGATGAGAAAATGAGAAAAACGTTCCAAACAAAGTTCTTACCAATTACTGATGACGATTTAGTGAAGCTCGAGGAGAAGAAGCCGGACGTTGTCGACGTAGAAGCGAAAGATCTTGTTGATAAAGAGGATGTAATAGAAGAAGAGGAAGAAGAAGAAGAAGAAGAAGAAGAGGAAGAAGAAGAAGAGGAAGAAGAAGAAGAGGAAGAGGAAGAAGAGGAGGAGAAAGAGGAGGAGAAAGAGAAAGAGAAAGAAAAAGAATTTGAAGATATCGATTTAGAACCGCTAGAAGATCCTGTTGGGATAATCGAGGAATCCGTACAGCCCGACGCACCTTACCGCTTAAACTTGGCTCTCTTGACCTCCACAGTAAAAATCCAGGATCCGACCGAAGAAGAGTTGAATGGCTTGCCTGAGGAAGTGATACTGGAAAAGATGAAGTACGATCACCCACCGCCGTACGTGATGCCGCCGAAGAGAACGCTCCGCATTTTGCTGGAGGCAAAATTGGCGAACAGATCGATCCCGTCGCTCGTATCTAGATTTTCGATCGATTCAAGGCTGAAAATCAAGAAGGGCGATGTCTCCGTGGAACCTATAACAACTGCGATTGTGCCGTTGCTGCGAGACACGAAACCTTCGAAGATGATTAAGCTATCTTTCGGGAGGTACTTGTACTCGAGATTGCCTCCGATCCATATGGTGCCTCTAAGAGCTATTGACGAGGGTTACATCCAGGACGAAGAAATCGATAAAGCGATTGACGAAAAATATCCCGGACGAGGGGAGCTGGAAAAGAAAGAAGACGAAACGTTAGGGAAGTTATCGAGAGTGTTTTACGCCACGAGACTAGAACTGATACCACTTGGACCGATAATTAAAACCCCCGTTTTAACGATAAAGCACCTGATAAGTCCCGATGAGCGGAAACGAAAGATCGTGCCAAAGACGAAAGAAATAGTGCCTGGGGTCAAAGAGAATCTCCGCGATGCGGAAAAGTTACTATTCAAATTAATATTCCCGAAATTCCGCCCTGAGCTGCAGGTTAATTTTCAATAATTTTCCAATAATTACAAAAATATAATAAAAGAACGCACATTATTGTACAATATAGTCCAAAAAATTGCAAAACTATCACATTTTTTTATTCGTATAAATATTATTACTTATTATATTTTTAATTTTTACAAAAACTTTTTTTAGTCTAATTAAGTTTTCTTTGCATTCAGCCACCGGACAAGAAAGATGATGTCAAAACGGTAGAGATGCAGAAAATGATAATTAGTGCAGAAGATTTAGAAAGAAAAGTAGAACTTCCATCATCGAAAGTTATCGGTTTCCAAGTAATTTTAATACATTCAAAACATGTCACGTAAGCATTTGATATCTCATATCACGAAAGTTTCATAAACTATAATTAGTATCTGTTTTCTATCATTTTTGCATGTAATTGGATACTTGATAAGTGACCTATTTAGCGCGCTGTTGATCTAAATATTACTTCAAGGTTGTGGATGAAAACGTGGAGATAATACGAGGCAATATCAGTCTGCTGGATCGCGCAAGAATTGATTCTGCTTACTTCAAACCTTGCTACTACGCGGCTATATACTGCATTTTGACGAAAATCGTGCTGGATGTAGATCGCTTTCCCGCTAACGCTCTGGATCAATGGATTCGCTTCGCCGATATGCTCGATCAACATGTCGGCAGATTGCGACACAATGGGTATAGAACGTTTGACAGGATAAACATGTTTGGCAGAAGTTTCAACATTGTTCTGAAAGAAATCACCTGCTCCGACCTCGAGAGTTCCCCAACCGACGAGCTTGATATTATCGTGAAGAAATTTCTAGAAAAACATCAGACCGGTATATTGGTGTTGACAAATTGCGCCTACGCAATCTGGCAGGCGGACGATAGATATTACGTTTTCGATCCTTATCCTTGCGATGAGAAAGGTCAGGCGAACGAGAAGGGCTACTGCTGCCTTATGAGGTTCCGCAATCTCAAGTCAATGCTCGATAGAGTTAAAGAAAACGCCGGCGAAACTGCGAGAGAGCCTTTTCGCCTCTACACCGTATTAGTCACTCACATGGAAATGACGAAACGTAAACGGAAACGGAGGAACGTCAAGCGTCGCGCGAAGCTAGAGGAATCGGAAGAGTTGGTTCGCGACGACGTAAAGTTGGACGTGACAACGCCAACGGTCGAGTCCGAAATGTCTCTGATCGAGTTAGCCGAGTGGGTCGCACCGGATCCGGAATTGGATCCCGATCGTGACGTCACGGCCGTAGGTTTTACGCCGATGCGGTATCACGAGGCCTCGATGCTCGAGGCGATTGTTTTGGAGAACGACATTACCGCGCCTGTATTGACGCCGTTCAAAGAGCCGTCGGAGATCGATCGCGATCGGGATCGCGAGGAAACGGCGAAGGAGCGAAGAATACCGCCCGAGAGGATATTTCGTAACCATACGGCCATCGCAATCCCCATCGATCTCTGCATCCTGGCGTGGTCGTTGATCCACGATCCTGCGTCCTGGTCGGAACGTACTATCAACGGGTTACTCGAGGCTGCCGTCGATTACGCCTTTGACAACGCGTTGGCAAGCGAGGACACTTCCGTGAGCGATATGATCGATGGGGCACTGCCGGAATTCGAAATAGCGAATTACGCGTTTCGAGCGGTATTCGCGCCGATACACCGCGGAATCCTGTACGCCACGGAGGGATGGAATCTCGCGTCAACCCTGAAGAAGATATTCGAGACGGCGATCTACACCGGTGCGATCATCGTTTGCCGTTACGCTCACGTGGGCATTACGAAGTGCGGCAAGAATTACTTCGCCTGGTGGACGGTCACGGGGACGAAGAGCCTGCGAATGATCGCGTCCAGCAACCTGGGCGAGTTTCTCAAGCTGATCGTTAAGGTGATCGACGAGCCGCGGGAGACTGAATTCGCCGTGAGAGCGATCACTATATCCTATGCGCGAAAAATGGCGCCCGATTACAGCGATGTTAAAGGTCTTCACGAGCCGACGACGACGTCGTCTCTACCGGAGATTCACCGAAAGGAGCTTCCGGAGTCTTATGACGTTCAAGCGATTTTCAAATCGATCGGCCTCGCGTCGAAACCGATCTTCGTACTCGGAACGGTGGTTCTTCGCGATCGCGACAGCCTGCTGGAACCGCTGGTGAAACGTTGCTACTTCGTCGCGTTACTGGCTGTCGTGGTAAAGAGGGACATCGTTCAGTCTCCGCTTCCCGGGATGATCGACAGGGTCCTCGAAGTCGCGGAGAATTTGTATAGAAAATTCTTCGAGCCGAAATTTCATACGGAACATATTTTACGAAATGTCCCGCTGATGAACAGGCTTTTCGATTTTCGTGACTGCGCGTCACCCTTAGTCGTGCTAACAACGAATTCTCAGACTGGCAGAAAGGATTTTTACGCGCAAGTGAGTGCCGAGGATAAGGAAGAAAATTATTCTTTGTAAATCTTTTTATATATTCTTTTTATAATGGAATTAATTCTCCGATTTTACTTTCTACAATTTTATATCTGACGCAGTTATTAATTTTTTAAATGTATTTATTTATTTATATTTATTTATTATAATTTGCCTAATAAATAGCATAGGTCACATTTAGAATTTATTGAAGTTAATATTATACCTCTTAATATTAATTTAATTTTTAAACGTCATTATATCTATAATCGTTGGTTTAGGTGAAACGGCATCTGAAAAATTACTTTAAGACGTACACGAGCGGTATACTGCACTTTACTAACTGCTGCTACGGTTTTTGGTACTCGAGAGCGACCAACTGCTACTACTACCTGGATCCTTACCAATGTGATGCGAGAGGCAGAAAGACCCTCGCCAACGGCAACGCCTGTCTGTGCATCTTCTCCTGCCTCCGTCAAATGGTGAAGCACATGTGCCTCAATCAATACGAAGGCACGACCGGATTCTTCCTCCATAGAATTCACGTGAATTCCATCGACGCGCCGGCGTTCGACAAGTTCCAGGAAGATCCCATGTGGGTCTATCTCGACTATCAGTGGAACTTCACGCATTCGATTATGAGATCGCGTAAGAGAGCGAAGGGCGGCGACAGGTCGGATCCATCCAAGTTCGATCGGCGATTTTGGAACAACTACGCGATCGAAGTGATCGATCTGATTTACTCTATCTGGGGCACGATCGGCGCGTACGATCGTCGATTCGGCGAACGAGCCGGAAAAAACCGCGTCGCCATATGCGTCGCCGTTCTAGCCATGCAGAATCTCTGTCATCCTTCGCGGTGGAGTCCGGCCGTCCTGGACTCGGCCGTGATCTGCGGAGATTCCTACTACACGGAGAGCCTGAGGAACACGATGCAGAAGTGCTCGAAGCAGCCCGAGAACAGGTTCGGCCTGCAGACCTCCTTCAGGATATTCCCACACTCGTGGACCGTAGATTTTGGCACGAGTGTACACGGGATTCTGTACGGCGATCGAAATAGATTGACGTTAACCGACGCGCTGGCATTGGCCTTTGAGGAATCTCGCAACGTCATCGTCGAGTGCAACAGGATCGCCTTGGCGGCACTGGCGGCTAAAGACGCTTATTACGTCGCCGATCCCTGCTGGATCGGCCCGCCGTTATTCGCGAGGAATCGCGGCGCGATCTACGCTCTACGTTGCAAAAATATGAACGCTCTGATATACGCGATCGCGAAGATGTTCAATACCAATCAGAGACTCGGCGTACGCGTCACGCCGTTGAGCCTCTCGTTCGATCGAGAGGACTTCGATGCCGATCTCCGCATCGCGCGAAGAAAGATTCTGCCGAGATCTCTGCAGAAATCGCCGGGAAAAATCGAAGACCCCGGCGCGCCTATTCCCGGAGCGGTCACGGTACCCGACGAGGATTCTTACCCGCGATATCGACGCCGTCTCGCCGAGGGTGCCACCAGAGATTTTCAACTGGAGAGCTTGCAGCTTCGTCGTACGGAGCCCGCGTTGAATCCCGAAAATGCGAACAATGCGCTCGTGAGCACCAAGTGTCGTTTGAATCTCGGTCAAGCGCGTCCTCGGAAAAGGCCTAAACTACCCTTCGACCCTGTCGAGACGAAAGGTGATGTGTTGGCCGATTCTTTGACCGATCTGTACGAGACGCGAATTTCCGTCACTGGTTCGATTACCGCGGATCGTTATCCGAGACTGATAGACTTCGCTAGCGACGATCCTTCAGCCGGGGTAGAGTCGCTCGATTATGCGAAAGTAGCTTCATCAGAGGACGAAGATTTTGCATAGATTTCGAGTCGCGGAAATGTTTCAAAAGATCCAGTAGCTATCGGCATCGTTTATCTAAAAATAAAAGAACCGTGCGTCCTGGACTATGTCTGGACATTTTTATCATTTTAGTCCTTAAATAAGAATTAAAAATCAAAGTGAAAAATATATTTCTTGTATTATATTTTTATCTTTGATTTTAATTCGCGTTATTTAAAAACTAAAATGATAAAGGTCTAACAATAAGACATATGTCTTAAGTGTCCCGGCGCATTGGTATCTTAATCGCTGCTGAAAGAAACAAAGCTGACAGTACATTGGACACCTGTAGCAAAACAAGCAACGTAATGACCGACGTAGTAGAACAAGGATGATTGAGGCCGACGTCGGAATTTTACGGTAAATAAAGAAAGATGATTCTACAAGTTGATTAAGAGCATAAATAGACGTTAAACGTTCTTTTTTCAAGATTCTGACGTAATGGTGGGATGATGATGGGAGAGTAAAATGCGACTGACTGCGATCTCGTGCGATTACATATCAGCATTATGCAAGATTGATTCATTTGGAAATCTACCAAGGTTCTTATTTTATCTCTTGGAAAACAACGCTGGGGAAAAACTTAATGACTCAATAAAAAGAGAATAGATCTAGAATATTTCCATTAATTATAAGACTATTATCTTCTTATATACAAATTAACACGACATCTCGTAAATAGCATAAATTCGCACATTACACCTTTATGTCAATATATTTGTAGGAATTATATATAACATATACATATAAAACACGCAATTTTTTACACGTGTATATGTAAAATTGATAAGTAATGGAAGAATAATCAGTTATTAAACAATTATTAACAATATTAACCCTTCGTCCCACTAGGTGGGTCGTTTTCGTCCGGGCGAAAATCAAATGTAGTTGTAACTTTTGCAAACGCGTAGAAATGGCGCCACTGCGCATCCGTAAAAAAAGTTATGCTTCCCGAGAACCCGCCTACCGAGTTTCAAGGCGCCAGACCCTCTCCAGTCGTCACAGGAAACACGTAATTCTTGAAAAAACGAGGTTGGCGGCGAACACTTAAGCACTTCATTTCAAAATAATTGCATGCAATATTTTTTTTATGAAAGGTACGTTTTTCCCCTTCAATTTCTTTTTTTATTCATTTCGATATCTTTATTTTTCTTAAAGTTATGATTTTTTGAGTAAAAGATGATTTTACAAGTTGTAGTTGTAGATGCTCCATTTCTTAAATAAAAAATATGTGAAAAAATTAAATTGCTTATAATTTTATGATTCATATTTCAAATTGAAGGTTTGAATTACCTCCATGAATTTTTTCAGATTTTTTGTAACACTTTAACACTTAAAAAAAAACGTCAAGACGAAAACGACCCACCTATGCGGCGTAAAGGTGCCAAAAAAACGTATGCGGACGAAGGGTTAAATATCTATTTGTAATCAAGTTACAAATTTGACTAAAAACGATAAGTTTATCACAAATATCTTTATTAATTTATATTTTTTTGTTGCATATGCAATTTTATTGCATGCAACGTGCTATTTTCTTATCCTTTCTTATCTTTTCTGAACATTTTCAACAAGAAAAATATTACATATAATTGAAAAAATTATGAAAGAAAATTTAGATTTATCCAAGATTTATTTGTGTTATAAGGGAGAAGAAGTAAACAAAGGCTTAAATTTTATATAATTTATTCACATATATTTTACGCTTACATCTAATTATTAAAATAAATGCGTAAAAAAGTAACTAAAGTTGTTAGTAATGGACGGTGAAAAACGCTTGAATCGACATAATCGTAGGTTTTGTACCTAAAATATAATCGAACTAATCAAACGGAATTTATAATTCATTAGTGAGATTAGTTTAATTAAGTGATTAGTTTAATATAATAACACGTTCAGCTTAGATTCTTGCAAAAAGTGGTACATACTTATAAATCACTTAAAAATAATGCAAAACGCGATTATAATACGTAAATCTTACATAATACAATTATTAGTAAATGTTTGTTGCGTATTCAATAAAAAAAAAGACACAATATAGCCTAAATATATTAATTTTTAAGCCCATTAAACTTTACAATATATAAAAATGACTTCGCTTAAAAATCGTTTCTGTAAAAATCATTCGTTTGGTGTTATTCTTTTTTTTCTTTTTCAATATAACTAATATTCTTAGAATTCTCCATATTTTAAGCGATTAAATTGTTTAAACGACTTTTAAGCGTACAGTTTGTACGCGATAAGATTATTATTGTTAGGCTTATGCATTATTTAAGTGGACAATAACAACGTTAAAGATAATATTGCATTTAAGTACGTAGCGCGACGAATCATATACGCTTAAAAAAATATTTAGGAAGAAACGGAAGAAATATATATTTTCTCACAGAGAATTTTCTCAAAAACAAATTAGTACAAGGTTTCAACGATAGAAAAATTTCAAATAAAATTGTTTAGTTAATAACTCAGAACTAAAATAAATTGGACGGTTAAGATCATACCTTCCATAAAATTCTCAATAAAACAACAAATGCAAATTACGAAAGAACATTACTTACGGCTAAAATTTGCACATACACCTTTCTGAAACATGTTATGAACTTATAGCAATCACGCGCCACAGTGTATGTATTACGGTTTTCGATTCCAGTCAGTAAAGGTTTTTTCCTTGCTCCCGAATTCGATAACAATCGGTTGTGATTAGACGTAATATCGAAGAACAAATCGGAAACACTGATGTCATGGAAAAAACGTTACAACGCCTACCGTACAACAAAGTATCACACGTACGGAGACATGTAATCACGGGGTTTTAATTAACGAGGAACGCCAACCGTGTCCATTTATATATATGCAATCGCATGATAATTGCAACGGAAAATTCAATAACAAGCGATGCCTTGGGATATTTTTCTCGTTTTAAATTGTGTATTCGTTTTACTTCCTCTGTAGAAAAAATTGATTTTGCAAAGAGATAGGACGTCGCGTCGTCCTGAAAGGGGAAACACACGATCGTCTTAATTGCATTTGCGGAAATGCGGTTATTTGTCTGCCGTTTCCTCGGTTTCTGGTTTCGTGTACAAGATTTCGGCGTACTCCGTTTTGTCCTCATTAATTCGGCGAGGCGCGGCGCCTTGTTGCTGCTGCGTGAGATCCAATTCCGCGTACACTATTCCACCCTCGCTTGCCGGAGGATTCGTTCTGCCTTCTTGCCCGGCCGGCTCAGCGGTCTGCAGCTATATATCATGTTTTTCTCAGATGTACAAAAACCGATAAAGAACCTTGATTGCGCATATTACCGCGATGACGTACATTTATATTACAATATAGTTTGTAAAAAAAAAATGAATAAATGAATCCTATAATAAGTAGATCTTTTTATACTCAAGCAGAAAAACTAACGTGACGTCTGAATTTTATATTCACATAAAATTAATTTTATATTTTAGATAAAAACAAAGAGATTATGATTTAAAAAACTCGTTAGTAATCTACCGCATTCGTTATTCACTACTACAGAGGCAAACTCTGAGGTTGTGGTATTTAGATTTATATAATTTATAAGGAAATATTATAAGGAGAAACACGTACCAGGCACGTGTTATTTTTTTTCTAACTTAATATTTAATTTTGTTCGACTCGAACAATCCAAAATTTTACTAGAGAAAAGTTTGATATTACTCATAATTTAATTTTTTATATCGGCTTTTTTTGATAACGAAGATTTGCAGAAGTTCAGATTTTACTTTGTTCTATTGCAGCATTAATTAATCATTAATACACAATTAAAAAAGAATTTTTTCCGACATGCATTATTGTAAACACTGAGGATAACGAATTGGCGCTGGCGGAAGAAAAGAAATAATAAAACATAACAAGGATAACGAGTTATAAATACGTCAACCGCGTAGAAAAAAAAAAACAGCAGCGATTACCTTCTCGTCGTCGACGGTAACGACAGTCTTCATGGTGTCCGTATCAGCGCCGGATACTTTATCTTTGTTCTTTCCAAAGAATCGGGACAGATTGATCCTGGGCTTCCGTTGTCCCCGGGACGACGCTCCGTCCACTTCTGATCGGGAATATCTGCCGGCGCTCTCTGTGTCACTTCTATGTACATATAATGTATGTATAATGCATAGAGAATTAAGTTGTTTTTTTTTCGCGATAAGACACGTTTCGACATGATCACGCAACAATAGTTTCACGAAGAAAACAAAACGTTAAAAACTATGCAGCGCTCATAATGTTAACTTTTCGATATTAGAGAAGAACAAATATTTAACAAGTTCGTTTTGCATTGAATAGTTACTAATCCCAATGGAGATGTACAAAATTACTGCACGTGTTTGTACGAACGTATATGTATCACATTTGTTTTTTTAGTTTATAGCGGATGATTTAATTTAGCGGAAGATTAATGAATGTACTATTCAGAACGTTTATAGTTACATGCATAAATTGTATGTAATTAACCTGTATCTTCGTGTCAAGTACGACATTGATTAAGCTATTAGGTTTTCTTTATTTTTTTTTGTCAATTTGCTCTTTGTCTCTCCTTATGCGTAGCATACAAATGTGTATCCGTAATTAGAAAAAATGACCGATTGAAACTAAATTAAAATGATAATAATGTAAAGAATCCGTTATGAAATATTTGAAAATACATAAAAAAATGCGTGATTCTCTGCAAAATTGTTTTTTTTTTTTTAATTCGTGTTAGATATTTTAGATCATATTTCACACATAGTCACATGCAGCGAGAATTGTAAATATTGAAGTGAAGTTTTTAGAAAGTTTCACACGTAACGTGGCGAATGATGTGATAATAGACACTATTTCTCCATGTCGCGCGCATGATGCAATTGATTATCCAATGGAACTTAACGGCGCGTTAAAAAATTAATTGACTTAGCGTAGCGTTAGTCGTTTGAATGCTTAGGGAGTTTTTACTTCCGAGAGTTACAACATAAGCGCCGCGGTTAACACAGATTGCCTATACGTGAATTACAACGAAACAGCCAATGGACACAAAGCGCACGCATAATAAGTATGAAGCGTCAAGTTTTTCACGGTTAAGATTATACTGGGGCGGGATATCATATAAGCGGCCTTGAGATCGGTCGATTATGAATGCGCAATCTTCTACAAAAAATGCGAGGAGATTCGCATGATAAGCAGCGTATTACATATTACATGCCACGCGCTGCCACTAATTAAGCGGCGTATTTTCCTCTTCTCTTTTTTTTGCTCCACGTTCTGTTTCCTCACTACCAAATTATCGTCTTCTTGCTACAGGTGGGATATCGCGTAGCAGCAGCCATCTTGTTGACGCCTCATCTTTTGTACGTTTTTTTTTTTTTTACGTTTTTTATAACTACCCGGAATAAATCTTGTATATATAAGCAACAAAATTATTATTATTTTCTTACTCGAAAACTGTGAACTTTCGTCATCGAAAAAAATGTGCAGCGATAGTAATTAATCATGGAGTTACAAGCATCTTAATGCGTTTTTCGGATCGTATTTTTATGGATCGTTAACGTCATAAAATCTTAAGTCTCGAACTAATTGCTTCGAGATATTTGCAAGCGAAATCCTTGATTCCGTCACGGATATTGTTGCATCGTTTCCGCCTTATATTTTACACGTTTCTCGTATACGACCTTCACTAATTGTAATAAGACAGAATTATAGAAACAAAAGTAGAATATAGGATAAAAAATCCGTTATCGCTATGTAGAATGGAGGAATCGCTGAGACTGCTCGATTACGAGTTTTAATTGCTTGGTTATACATATTTCGCAATAATTAATCTATGTAACGCGATTGCGTAAATACGACACGCAAAGTCTACCCAGCCGTATTCTAACTTTGACCTCATTCTTTGATTTGTTTATCTCATTGATAAATGTGATTACGAGAATGAGGTCGCTTATACCCATATCATTTATGTTATGGCTGTAGACGGCAACGTTATCAGGGATCTACCCCACAATAGATTTTCGATTATTTCTTTTCATATTCTCAATTATTTTAACTTGTACCGATATGTAGTGATTTTTTAATTATTATGTCGAAAAAAAAACCACCCAGAGAACATCATGACTTCCTAAAGATGTCTTATATAAAACTGTCAGAAAAATCATAATATTATGACGTTTTTAAAAGGTCTTATGACCCGATTTATAACGTCTTTTAGATATCTTATAAACGCCTTATTTCAATTAATTTAGTCTATTAATTTAACTATTTTTAGACATATTGCAAAATAAAAAATAATACGCAAATGCGTCAACGAGAAGAAAAATACGAAAGAAGAGCTAACGTTGCTTGCTAAATCGGTGTATAAACAATTTAATATTTACATAACTTAGGACAATCTATATGTAACAACGGAGATCGCGGTTTTGTCATTAGCAAAGTTATGTAAGTATTGAATTTTTAACATACCGATGTATCAGTTAATTCCAGTCTCTGTCTTGTATTTTTCCTCTTGTTTTGCGTTTCCAAACAGCTCTCCGTTTTAATTATGTTGTTGTAACACTAAATGATGCAAAATATCTAAATACCAAATTGATTTACCTGGCGGTAAATTATATTTTTATAGTCTTGATTTTAATTAATAACTGTTATAGTAAAAAAAAAAAAAAATAAATACCTGTGTTTGTTCCACGAAATGTCTTATAAAAACATTCGGAAAGTTTTAAAGGCGTTCTTAAGACGCGTTTAATTAAAGTCTTTTAGACATGCGTGTTGTCTGAGCAAGAGATAATTGCCGGATTTATTCTCGCAACGTATATTGATGATCGTAAAAAAGTTGATTAATCCTTTCGTTACTTTTTTCTTTCAGTTCGTGAAGTAATAAGAGGTTTTAATCTATTGTCACGTAGGATTTATTTTTGTCGGTAACACAGCGAGACGAGGAACAGTTCCCAGTTTGATCAAATTGCGCAGAAAACGGGCGGCGAACAATACTTTGTTGGCCGCGCTGCCTTTCCGGGCAATTTAATCCAATTAGGTCAGACGAGTAAGAAAAGCGAGCGCGTCGACGGACACATATCCGCGCGACATTGCGAGAAACGAATAAAATAAAAAAGCTGCTGCTTGCCTTTTTCTAACGACATCGGCCGTAGTTTTCGATTTGCCGAGGTGAAGAAGGCTAACGCCCGTCGCTGGGTCCGCGAAGTCTCTGAAAATGTGCATGCTTGGCAAAAGTTCTACGGAACGACAAATCGAGTCGAGTGACGGAAAAGCGACGAAGAGGGATCTCTCGCTCGTTCGTCTCTGAATCGCGTCACACGGCTAAATTAAACTAAAGCACTACGAAAGAATGAAAGTATTAGTCATGACGCCGGGTGCGAGTGTGATAGATATTGGTAAGCGAGAGTGCGATAATGTGGATTGAAATAATAAAACGTATATCGTAATTTCGGTATACTCACGACTCCCCGAGATTCCTGGTGGACGAGTGACCTGAAAGTAAGGACAAGTTTTGCTTTAATCGGACAATTAAATATAAAGTGCTTTCGTAATAAATGCAAAACCCTGAGAGAGATGCGTGCTCGCTATAATTTTATCTGATATATGAAATAGCTTTCAGGATTTATTAAAACTTAAATAAAGTTTTAGAAATTTTTATTTTTAATTGAGGTACGTTTCTTGAGATTAATACTGTCAATAGTATTTTAAATTGTATTATGTATTATTATTGAATGCAATCTACTCAAAATTATATTGTTCATTTCATATGACAATATTGATAATATTTTCTTATATAATTTTTTATATAATTAAAGAATTTTCTAAAAATGTTGTTAAAAATGAAAGGAAGTTTTGTAAGTAATTCCAAGAAGAGGTAATAAGAATCTGAATTCCAAGGTCCAAGAATTTATGCTTTAAGATTATAAAATTCGCTTGAAGCGATTAAAGATGTTGTTAAAAATGGAAGGAAGTTTTGTAGATAATTCAAAGAATTTATGCTTTAAAATTATAAAATTCGCTTGAAGCGATTAAAGATGTTGTTATATTAAAAAATTTATCTTTAGTTATCCAATTCCTTTATCTAGCTACAAGACAGCATCGTCAGTGGTGTGACATAAATCACTAACTTTTGAAACATGATGTCAATCATTATCAGTCAACATTATCCATATCTCTTTTCTTTTACTTCTATCGCAACTGACTGCAGCTGATGACTATACTCACGTAATCTCAAGTTAGCATTCTCAATTTATAATTTCTCTATTAATAATATTATAAATATTAATAAATTAATCTCTTCGTACTCATTAAGCAAAAGATATATAAATTATTTAAAAAAAGCATCATTAATATCACAATCACAAATTAAAGATTAATTATCGTCGTGCTAATTTAGCTTTTGAGTTCAAAAGTCTGTATTTTGCGCTCTAGAAATGAAATCCTGAAGTTACAATATCCAAAATAAATAAGCTTAACGAAATGAAAGGACGATACGATCTCTCAACATTTATATATTTAAAACAAATGTTTTATTTCAAAAATCATACGATATCTAAGTATAATATCATAGCGACGAATGAACTTATAATTAATTATACATACAGCTCTCTATATATTAATTTCATTTGAATCCTTAGATATACTTTTCTTCGCCTATCGCATTGTATCTACAGGTAGAGATACAAAATGTGTTATCGTTTCTCGCGCGGACGCGGCGTGGCTAGCTCATCTTAATTGCGATCTGTGTAACATCATTTTAAATCGTTTTGCCTGCTTAATTAAAGAGTCAGCGATCTCTCTGGACTATTCCTGAAACCGATCGCCAACACGGCGCCGTTTCGATTGGGCCCTTAATCGGAAAATGACGAGATAACGATGTCGCGCAAACGCAATTTCTCCCGGTATAACCGCGATTTCGCGCGGCATTTAATTAGATCCTAAAAAATGCTTCAAAGAGAAGAGAACACCAATTGCAGGTATTTATAATATAATCTCGCGATCCGGCGCGAATCGGCGCCGCCATCGCGTTCATCATCTTACTCTATAGACTTACGTTTTAACATAAATATATCTATATAATATAATATATATAGTATATATATACCCCATTGTATGGCCAACGATCATGCTCCTTAATAACGTATGTCATCTTTTCGATTAATATTACGAATTTTACAAATGTTCATTCAATCTCTAGTTGTCGCAGGGTAACGAAAAACGCGATCAAATGCAAATGTGTGTATATACGCGTACATCTGCATGTCTGTATGTATATATATATATATATATATATATATATATATATATATATATATAT